TGCGCGCACGTGTATTTTCACATGCACGGTCACGCGCGCACTGACGCGCTTGGCTCGGTGGGTGCCCTGACGTGCAGTCACACACACGTACACACATATGCGCACACATGTGTGTGGTCACATACACTGACACAGCTCTGCACGCTCACGTACGCGCACACACTGACACACTGAAATGGGTACCCTTACGTGCAGTCACACGCACACACGTACACTCACACACAGTCACAACACAGACACACTTAGACACACATGTGCACATGCACACGTGCACGCTCACGTGTGTGGTCACGCACACACCGACACGCTTAGATGGGTGCCCTTATATGCAGTCACTCACATGTACACATACGACTTCACGCAGTCACGTGCACACACTGACACACTTAGATTCATGTACTTACATGCACTCACGTGCGAACACACCCCTGCACACTCACACGCACGGTCACATATTGTTACACGCACGCATACTCGTACATGCATAGGCACACATGTATACACACACATTCACACACGCGCACACTCTCACAAGTACACACGCATGTTCACGTACACACACGTATGTTCGTTTACGTTTGCACAGACACATACCTAGCCTTACACACACACGTGCACGCATGCTTGCGCGAAGCTGTCCAAGGGCCATGAGGGCGTGGAGGGCATTTCTCGGGAGGAGGGATCGCTGTCTAGCGGAGTGGCCGGGGAGGGCTCCCTGCTGGCGGGAGGGACCGGGGCTCAGTCCCGCCGGGTGCTGGACCTGCCAGGGAGCAGAGCCGTGGAAAGAGGAGGACGGAGGAGGGGTCTTCTCCCCGCGGTCCCTGCCCCCGTGGTCTGGGGCCACTCCCTTCTCCAGCCCGGGCTCCGTGTCCCCATGGATGAGATGAGGCAGGCGGGCTGGACGCAGCAGAGTCCGGGCCTGGTGCCCCTTACCGGCCCCTTCCCTTCTGGCGCAGGCATCCTCAACCTGGCCTCAGGGGTGGTCGACTTGCTGCAGTATTACTTCCCCGAGTCCTTCGATCGTCTCCCGAGGGACGCTGGTCTCTTCGACGGCCCCAAGCCCACCGTGCTGGAGTCCTGCAGCGTCAGTGACCTGGCCATCTTACTTCGAGGCAACAAGAGGAAAACCCAGCCCATCGAGTTTGGAGCCCACCAGGTGCGTTGGCGCTTGGAGGCTGTCGGGGTGACCCTGGAGCCCGGGCTCGGCGGGGTGGGAGTGCACCGTGGCATGCCTGACGGGGACTGGCCTTGCCCTTTGGGGGTGCCTCCAGAGAGGGGGCACCCCCTCGCTCAGCCCCTGGGGCTCTGCCTGGTGCAGGGCCCCTCCGTGGACGGACGGGGTGGAACGTTGCGGGATGCGGGGGAAAGAACGCGACTCTGTCTCTCTCCTCATCTGTCTCTGTCTCTCTTTCTGCCCGTCTGTCTCTTTCTCTCTGTCTCTGTCTCTTCTCTCTCTGTCTCCTTGAATCGTTTTCTCTTTCTGTCTCTGTCTCTCTCTTTGTCTATCTCTGTCTCTCTCTCTTTCTCTGTTTCTGTCTCTCTGTCTCTGTGTCTCTCTGTCTCTATCTC